TATTGAGTTTTGAGAGTCCTTTATATATTCTAGAGACGTCCTTTTTCAGATATGCGGTTTGTAAATATTTTCTCCCTGTCTGTAGCTTAGGGTTGTTTGCAGAGCTAAAGTTTTCAATTTCAATCAAATCTGATTTATCAAAGTTTTCTTTGATGCATTGTACTTTTGATATCAACTTAAGGACTCTTTATCTAGCCCCAGATCTTGAAGATGTTCTTTCATGTTATTTTCTAAAATTTTACTTTTTACATTTACAACCTTACCTTTTACATTTAAGTCTGTGATCCATTTGAGTTAATTTTTATATAAGGTATGAGACAAATTGAAGTTCATGTTATTTTTGCCTATGGATGTCCAAGTACTAAAACATCGTTTGTTAAATCTGTCCTTCCTTTATTGACTACTTCTGCACCTTTGTCAAAAATCAGTTGGGCATATTTGTGTGGGTCTATTTCTGGGTTCTCTATTTTGTTCTTTTGATCTGTGCATCTATTTCTCTATCAAAACCACACAGTTATGATTACTTTAGCCATATGATGAATCTTGAAGTTGGGTAGACGGATTCTTTCGCTTTATTATTCTTTTTCAAATTGTGTTAACAATTCTAGTTCCTTTCCTTTCTATATAAATGTTATGCATATATTGAAAATTCTCTATCTTCTTTTAACTATTTTCTCTGATCCTTTTATTTTCTCTATCCAATTTTTGTTTCCTTACGTGTTTTCCAGGCTTTCTTCAATTTCTCTTTTTAAATTTTTATTTAAATGTATTCTCCTTTCCACAACTTGTAGTTTATTCTTCATTTATTCAATTTCTTTGAGTTTGGTTAGTATTTACTACATTTTTCCTGTTTTGTGGTTGTTGTGGTTTTGTTGTTGTTGTTGTTCATTTCTTAGTTTTAAATATCTGATTGCAGGTGTTGTGCACCCATGCGTGTATGTCAGGTGTGTATGTGTGTCTCCAAATGCTTATTGAGGGTACTTATTACAGTTTAGAGTGTTTGTTGTCTTATAATTTTCCTTTGTTTCATGGTTGATTATTTGATAAGAATTTATATCCAGCTGAGATGTTTATATTTTCACTTTCTTTTTATTTTCCCTATAGGAGTTGTATAGAGAGTTTAATTTTTTCCCTGTTCTTGGGCTGGATTAGTATTTCAAGAGCCCTCTTTCCTGTCAGTTTTGTGAAAGAGTTTGTAAATGGATGATGATGGTGGTAAAGAGGGGAAGGAGGAAAGATGGATTTGCCTGTCTTGTTTTTCTTTCTTGTTTGCTGGATCCTTAATTCCCCCCCTTTTCTTCTTTCCTTTTAATATTGTCTCTGAGGGATACCACCTAGTCTCAATTTACTTTCTTCCCTTATGGATATGACACTTTTTAAAGCTGCCATTTTGCATTTTGCTTGATTTTGAGCCTCTTTACTGTAGGCAGTGCTGTGAACCACCAGATACTGACTTGTGCTCATATTTTGGCACTTACTTGTATTGTACTTTTATTTTCTGAGTATGATTTTGTCTGTTTGCCAGTGTCTTAAACTTCTCTCTCTCTCTCGCTCTCTCTCTTGCTCTCACTCTCGCTCTCTCTTTCCCCTTCTTTTTTTCATGGAGTCTCTTAAACCTCCCCTTACCCTTCTCTCTCTACCCACAGACTCATAGCAGATGCTGTTGGACTTTTTTTTTTTTACTTATAAATAATTTGAAGTTTGAAGTTTGGCATATTCTCTGCCTCTTAGTAATGCTAATAGCATAGGTCATATGTGATTTCATTTGTGCTCTTTGGTGGCCTTATATGTTCTGAGAGAAGGTTGTATAGACAGATATAGATTCAAATGGCTGCCATTGTCCTTTATACTCAGAAGCTTCTAGAATGTAATAATTTATTGACCAAAAGGCATCATGTAATTCCTGCAAAACTTGTGCCATAATGGGATACTTGGGGGAAAGTTGACATTATAACAAAATTATAATTTTCTTCTTATAACCATGACAATAAGAATTCCTGGACATGGATTATAGTTCTGAATAATTTATCGTCTTTAAATAAGTGAAATGCAGGGACAGGCATGTGAATCAGATATTTCAGCACTAGAAAGGATATCAAATAATGATTATATCATATAGAATTTTAGAGCTGGAAGAAAAGTTAGAGGAAGTCTAATCTAACCAATATGTCATCTGACAGATGAGGCTAAGAAAGAGAAAGCAATTTGTTCTAGTTTACCCTGAGAGTTATAAGCAGAGATTGATCTGGAACCAGTTCTCTTGGCTCCCTGTCCCTTGTGTGTCTCCCATTAAATGGCCCCAATTCAGCCTTTGGTAGGGACAAAAGAAGTTAAATCACTTGCCCAAGATGGTGCACGTAGTAAGCAGCAAAAGTAGATGTGAGGAAGACCAGGACCCTTGTTAAGCAGCATCCATTCACTGCGCTACACACGATGCCTATATTTTTTGGTCAGCTACCTTCCTTTCTGCTCTCTCTCTCTTTCCTCTAATATGTAATGAGCACCTGAAATAGTTTAGATCCAATTATGGGTTAGTACTGTTCTCAACAGAGTTTCTATTCAGTGCAGTTCCTTCTAAAGGGATGAATGTGGCTAAGAGTTGTGATGGTGCACACAGTTGTAAGTTTATAGGTCTTGAAAAACAAAGGTTTACAGCTAGGCTTTTCCAACGTGTCTCTAGAGCAATGTGAGGTCTTGGTCTAATTCAGCCACCCAATTTCTGCCTGCTCGAAGGGCAGTGTACTTGCTGTTGTAGTTTCCTACTATTGACAAGAGGCTTATCCATGAAATTCTTCTTTCGGTGCTCTTGAAGTGTGTACCTCATGTATGCCAGGGTTACCTCGTATTGAATTTTCTTTGTGAGCGGAAGATAGAATGTTCTTCTCTGCTGCGCCAATAGCACTTTCCCATATACACTCAGGGAAAGCTTTTCCCCCTCTCAACAGGGCTCAAAAGTCTTGACTGGAGTACTTCAGAAATAGGCCTGGTTGATACTTTTATCAAAACAAGCAGAGTCTGGGCAATTCCTAGGTTGGAATAGCACGGATGACCTGAATTTTTCCTAGGCAGGTGCATGGATGGCGTTAGCAAAGGGGTAATGTATAGCACTCTGATCCTCATTCATAACAAGAGGGGGTACCGACCCCCACCTGGTGAAAGTGAATGTGGCATGGTGTTCATGGGGAGAAAAGACCGATGGCATGTGGAGGTGTGACCTAGGAAGGAAAATGAAGCTCGGGATGGCTTGATGTAACTTTCTTATGGTCAGTCCTTCAGAGAGAGACATTGAATTGATTATCATTTTTTTTTTCTTGCTAGAATATGCTGATGGTCCACATGTACTTTTGTAAAATAATTAAAGTAATAGAAATGGTAACAGAAAAATCTTTAACCTGGAATTTGCACAGAATTCTGTTTTGAGCATGCTGTATTTATTAGCGTACTTTGGCGTGCCCCCAGAAGAAATTCTGTACCTCATCTCTCTGGCTCTAAGAACCCCGCGGCAGGGCTGCCTGTTTGCACTGAACTAGAAAGAGTCAGGATTCTTCCTTCTACTCAGAGTGAGCTTTGCACATGACAAGTCAGGAACAAGAGCCTAGGAATTTCTCCCTCTCCTCACAACCCCTACCACACGTGGCCATCCTTATTTCCTCGGAGGTAAAAAAGAAAACATAAAAAAGACTTATATTTTGGTTCTTGAGACTGTAAAGCAGTTCCTGCCAGTTTTCTGGAAATCTCTCTAATGTTGGATCCTTTTTTCTCTCCTCTTCCTTAACAGAGTTTTGTTTGTTTGTTTGTTTGTTTGTTTAAGTGTAAAATCATGGTTTGGAGTGCAGGCTTTGAGACCAGATAGATTGTAGGTTGGTCATACCATCTTAGTAAAACTCTTGGTGATGTAGTTTCCTCATTTTTGAAATGGAGATATGTTACTGCCCAGGTGTTTATGAGGATTCCATGATTTTATATATATATGTACACACACACACAGACACACACACACACACACAAAATGATTAGCACATTGCCAGGCACATAGAAAGGTCTCAGTAAATAGCATCTATTCTAATCATAGCAGGCAATCTCTATAATAGTACTTAGACTTGTGTTTGGCATTAGGTAACCGAAACTGGTAGAAATTATATTACTAATTTTAGTGGCTCGTGAGGATCTTCAGACTGAGCATACATCCTAGGGAGGTCTGCTGAGCCTTTTACGTTTCTTTCAACACCAGACCAAATACTCTGGCAACAAGTAAGCGGCATGATTCCAACAAGGCTCAGCATTGCCTGCAGCTGTGTTGTCCTGATGATCCTATGCATCTCTAAAGTTTACTTTAGAAAGCAAGAAACACGCCCCAGTGAATAGGTCCAGCTCATATGCGCAAGACTTTTTAAGTTATATTGCAGTGGAATTAGGTAAGCATTTATTAACTATTCGATGGTGTAGTGGGCACGGCCATCTGAGAGTTAACAGTCCCACTTGAAGAGTCAGGTGCAGCACTTTGGCACCTTAATCCTTATTTATTTATTTTTTTAATTCAGAAAAAGATGCGAAAAACAAATAGAAATAAAATATGTAGCTTTCTTGGACTCTCCCTTTGGCAGTACCATTTGGGTAGTGATAGAGAATTTGGTTTTGAATCTTGGCTCTGCCACCCGCTAACCCTGTGGCCTTGGGCAAATCGTTTTCCTTCTTTGGGCCTTACCTGCCCCATCCGTACAATGGGTTACTAATATCTCCATTAAAGGGTTAATGTAAGAACTATGCAGGGGATAATTCACATGAAGTACTTTTCACCGCCTGGCATTTAGTTCCGCCCATGTCGTTGTTATTATTTTTATCTCCTCCTTTCAGCAGACAAAATCAAGTCATGGGTGCCCAGCCTGGTCCTAAAATAAGTCTTGTTTTGGAACCTGTAAGCCCAATATGACCTTAGAGGTGCTTGAAGAGTACAAAGGATATTTTTTTAAAATGTACATTTCTCACCCTCTTGGTTTCAGTATTCCGGATTTCACACGGAAAGATCGGAATCTGATCACGACAGCCAGTGGGGAGGAAGTCCCCTGACCGACACAGCCTCGCCGCAGCTCCTGGACCCCACGGACAGGCCAGGGTCTCAGCACGACGCGTCCTGCGCCTACAGACAGTTCTCAGACCGCAGCTCTCTCTGCTATGGCTTTGCGCTCGACCACTCCAGGCTGGTGGAGGAGAGGCATTTCCACACCCAGGCCTGCGAGGGAGGCCGATGCGAGGCGGGCAGGTACTTCCTGGGAGCGCCGCCGGCCGGGAGGGAGCCCTGGTGGGGCTCTCGTGCCGCCTTGCCCCTGACCAAGGCCTCCCCAGAAAGCAGAGAAGCCTATGAAAACAGTATGCCTCACATCGCTTCAGTCCATAGGATCCATGGTAAGGGTAGTCGAAATGATTTTTGAGTTCGCAGCATTGGGCCCCTGGGCGGGTCTATAATATTTTAGGTTGGACACCAGAGTGACTGACCTAATGGTTTTCTCCTTTGAATTTACAAATTAGACACTCACACCAGTGAGATTTTAAAAACCAATTTCAGGTACTTTAAGTACATTCGCTTTGCTGATATTTGCCAAATATATTCATTTCGGACAGGTGAGTAAAAATGATTCCCATTTTAAACATAAAAAAATAAGTATAGTAATTAAGTTAAAGTTAATTGTTAAGTCTATTGAACTTGTAGTATGTATGCATTTCAATTTCTTGTGTATCATTTTCTTTTATATTCTCATGCTTTGCATGTGGACTTAAGTAGTTTGGGGGCTCTTCCAGCCGTGTTTCTTTATGAGGGCACTATTGGCATGTTGGATGTCCCAGTCTTTCGTGACCTATCACTCACATCACAGGAAATTTAACCTCTCTGGCCCTTTGGGCATTAAATGCCAGTGGCTGCTGCCTTCCTTCATCATTATGACAACCCACAATGTCCCCTGTGAGTAAAGGGTGGAGTGATATGTAGAATCTACAAAGATTTGCACCTTGAGATTATTACATGGCTTCATGAACACACAGAAATGGGCACTACAGTGAAAGTCTTTAGTGTAGTAATGCTCTTCTTTGGTCATACGAAAGTAAACTCGTCAAGCGAAGCCCATTCTGCCCATTTCAAGCTTGGGTCCAGGCGGGTCCTCAAAACTTTACCTATTTCATTAAAAGTCGGTGACATTAAGATTGATTCGATGGCCCTGATATTACTCTTCTTGCTGTGTCTTTAGGGTGAGAAGTATGCTAGACAATGTTGTACTCACCCATAAAATCTTCTGCCAGATACCACCCAGTGCTGACTGACTTTTATGTCTTTAATTTGTTTTTGTTTTTGCTTTTTTATTTTTCTCCTTTTACTTTGAGTTTCTCTAATTTGGTACACTGGTAATAGAAACTCAAGGCAAAGGCCAATTGCTTGCCAAAAAATGGAGTCAAATGAAAACACTGGCTTCACCCTATTTTAGAAATAAAATAAGACAAGAGAAAAGAAAAACTGTGAATAGTGTAATCCAGGGCCTCTTTGCTGCATTAAGCAGTTTACAGCTTTTATGTGTCCCTTCCTGTGTTTCTTCCCCGTTTTTATATTGACTTCACTCTACTCTGAGAATAATTTAATTTATGGAATGTATTTTGGAGGCACTATTCCTCCATATTAGATCTCTCTCCTTGGTTCAAAATGGGTTATTACTAACATTTTAAGTATTTATTCTTCACCTTATTTCAGAGACATCTAAGATACCAGAGTTATTGTATGATTACATGTAAAAATGAGATTTTCACCACTAGATTTGAAAAGACAATATTTATATTTTTGATTAGGACAAAATACATATATATCCATGCACACATATAAATATATATATGAATATATATTTTATATATAAATATATTCTTAACCCTCAGTTTAAAAACTAACGTTAGAGTTTTATTGTAACTCTGCTTAAGAGACATTTAGCAATATTAACATTTTAGGTGACTTATTTGAAATTGAGAAAATAGTACAGCCTTTATCATTGTCTTCCTCAAATCCAGTTGAAAGTATTTTCTAAGCGTCAATTTAACATGACACTTTCCTAGAAAATAACATAAACCAAATGCTAAGCATTTTTCTTTAATTATTTATAGCTGGGCAGGTCCAATGATATGTGTACATGAAGTATAAACACACTTTGCTGTTTTGCTAATTGGTATTCACAATCCACAAACAAGGTTTACCTTCTAAAAAACTTGTTATAAACTTCATCTGCACTTAAAAGCCACAGAACTATGAATTCCAGTACAATACTTTGACATTCTGTCTGTCATGTGAACCTGTGTCTGTTTCAAATATTGGTGCATATATTAAAAATGAAAGATATAAGGTTTCTTTTAAAAAGAAATACACTTACATTTTGGGGGATAAATTTTGAGACCATTTACTTTTTACCTTTTCTAATTTCTAGGACGAGGTCATTGGGATGAAGATAGTGTGGTCAGTTCTCCAGACCCTGGGTCTGCCAGCGAATCAGGTGACCGATATCGCACCGATCAGTATCAAAGTAGCCCACATGAACCTAGCAAAATTGAAACTCTGATCAGAGCCACCCAGCAAATGATTAAAGAAGAAGAGAACAGATTGCAGCTAAGGAAAGCGCCCCCAGACCAACTGGCCTCCATTAATGGAGCTGGGAAAAAACACTCCCTCTGTTTTGCAAACTACCAACAGCCCCCACCGACAGGCGAAGTCTGCCACGGCTCCACTCTTGCCAACACTTCACCGTGTGACCACATCCAGCACAGAGAGGGAAAGATGCTGAGCCCCCATGAAAATGACTATGACAACAGTCCTACTGCACTGTCTCGAATAAGTAGTCCCAATTCAGATCGCATTTCAAAATCCAGTTTGATCCTAGCTAAAGACTATCTCCATTCGGATATGTCTCCTCATCAGACAGCAGGAGACCATCCTGCTGTCTCTCCAAACTGCTTTGGCTCTCACCGGCAGTATTTTGATAAGCATGCTTACACATTAACTGGATATGCCCTGGAGCACTTGTATGACAGTGAAACCATTAGAAACTATTCCTTGGGCTGTAATGGCTCACACTTTGATGTAACTTCCCATCTAAGGATGCAGCCAGACCCAGCACAAGGACACAAGGGAACATCTGTTATAATAACCAATGGAAGCTGATGTTTTTCTAAAATATTTTATTCTTTAAGGATCTCTGAAGCATATTTATAGTTTAATGCCCCATGACAAGCATTTACTATGCTACAGATTGTTAGGATAATTTCAGTTCCTGGGTATTTGAAATGTGTTCCTTTGAAGTCAAAGAAAACATCACTAGCATTCAAGGTTATATACAGATAATGGAGCTAAAGTGAATATGCAAATTGCCCCTCTAACCAGAATAGATAAAATTTTGAATAGAAAAATACTCGTGTAGGTTAAGTGAGCATATATGCCATGTGAAAGACGGACAACAACATTGCGTTTGATGATCCGGTGACCCTCATACACACATCTTGCTATCTACAAACTGCTCTGTACACTTTACATGCAGAAATATATACTGTGTACCATAAATACACCCTAAATGGGTGACTTTTTTTAATAGTAGCATATTAAGATTCTTAAAGAAATTTCTACTCCCAAAATAACTAAGAAAGAGAGACATTTTGTAAACTTTCTTTTTTGTGGTTTTAAGCAGCTAGCTCATTTGGATTCAGGTATAAATTAAGGAAACCGTTCTGGATATGGTATAAAAATGAGTTTTCAGCTGATATCCATTATAAGCAATCAGGAAGTGGTGATTTTTTACCTTCTTTTGAGTTAGACAAGGAATAGGATCACATTGACATCAGTAAGGGTTTTTCTAAGTGAAAGTACTGAGATGTTGAGACACACAACGAAAACCTGGTATGCCCAATTTGAAATAGTTCAGTGAAGATGGAAAGGCCAGAGGCAGAGAGAAATTAAATAGTATCTCAGAAAAAAACAATTTAAGGCTCAGAATATGTAACCAACATATTTGGGACTCATAAAACCTGCCAAATAAAAAATTCAAACCAATTCACCAAGGAAAAAGGCTAATAAGTGCAAAAACAATTAAGGAAAACCAGTAAAGTGCTTACTATATGACAGCGGTGTCATATATTTGAGAACTTTTCAAAGCACAGATGTGCAAGTGTGACAACATATGAAATGCCTCAGGAGAGGGTCTAAGATAAAAGCTTAGGCTGATAGACAAGTGATTAAAAGGGCAAGAGTAGTACTTTGACTCATTAAGGAACAGATGAAGTGTTCATTTTTCTTATTGTTTGTAAACAACAAAAACAACACGTAAAACAGTAGAAATACCAGCCGACTAGATGCCAGGATCTCTGGATCTGGTTCTGGCCCTGCCTGTAACTTATTTTGGGAACGTAGATGTACAACTCACCACAACTGGGCCCCAGTTTCTTCATCTGTGTGGCAATTCTAATGTTCCATGGTTCTGTGGTTCATTGGTGCAGCAGAACTGAACTTGGTAACTAGTTAACTGTTGTGAGTGATCCAGACTTATCATCTTGGCTTTTCTGTACTCATTTAGAGATCTAGATGTTTTTTTTTTTAACATAAGCAGGTGCATGGGCTCTTTTAGGCACGTATAGTTACAGACAACTTTCTAGTTCAGCCAACATGTTGGTGGTAAAAACCGATAAAAGAGAAGAAAAATAAGTAATATTTATTTAATGCACTATTCTCTAGTAATCAAAGCAAAGTGGCATAAGTGAATAAAGAAGTTTCATAGATAATATTTCCTAGGAATCCCATGCCTGAAATTCTTGCCATATTCAAAGAGGGAATGTATTGGAAGAAATTGACTTATAATTTTGAAGACAGACCATGACATTGAACACTCAGGGATTAGTACTCTATTTTCATCATGTAACAGTTATTTGGCAATCCATAGGTAGGTAGGTGACAATCTGAATGATGATAATCTGAGAGATAAATTTGGGATTGTTTGTATGTGAGAAAAGAGGCAAAGTAAAATTAAATATTTCTTGGGTATGACAGAGCAACATTTGTGCTATAAATGGAAAAAGTGCAAGTAAGTGAGAAAGTTAGTGATTATTTATACTTTCAAAAAAGTTCAAATAAAACTAAATTTTGAACTATAAAAGCAAAAGTATTCAGTAATTTTGAGAAAAATATTTATGAGAAACCCCTGGAATACTTAAAATGGATTTTTGATCATTTTGCAACATGAAGTAAGGTTTTAGGAATGCTAAAGATTTTGTAGAATTCTATAGATGGACAAATGGTTCAAAGACATAAATATCTGATGAATATGTGTTTTGGAAAGGAAATCTATACAGATGGGTTTTACTGATGGATATACATTCTATTAAAAAGGTCAGAGACAGATCCTATAAAAGAAATAGAATCTTAAGAATCAAGGGAAATGAACTGATAGGAAAGAAAAGACTGTCACTAAAGAAATTTTAGTGGAATTTTTTGTATGAAAGTTAATTGAGGAAAGAAATAAATTATAAGCTCTACAAATAAGGGGGTAATCAAAAGGAATAATGCTCTTTAAAATAATATTACCAATATTTTAAGTGAGGACAGAATTAACTAAATTACATGTTAATTAAAATGTTGATAGATTGACCCAGTGTTAAATAGAAACCATTTATTTACTTTATATGTCAATCATTTTATAGCAACATATTTGTTACATTACATATAATGCCTTATAGGCCCACAGTATTATATAGCTTACATTTTTTTGCAATGTGGCATGATTATTACAAAATGACCTAAGATAAGTTGAGACAGTTTATGGCAAGGTACCTTTTTAATATGCTGTACACATAGATGTGTTAAAATATATTTATAATCTACATTATTTTGTTGCGTGCAGGAACATATTGCCTCATAATGAAGATGTCTATCTGTGTCATTTTAAAATATGGGTTGTAAAAGGAGTGTGTTCCCAATAACTTAATCAGTTGACTTTAGTTTTGATTCTTGATTTCTGTAACTTTATTAAATGCTGAGAATCATGTTACTTGATTAAAATAGAGAGAGAGTATGCTTTTCACATCACCTTGGGAATTCATTGAAAAGTGCTTTTTTCAATTACTCTCATATATAGCAATTTATTGGATGGTACAAAGCTCATGCTTTCTAGTAATAGTAAGAATGTCTTTATTACCCATTTTACCTGCCTGCCCTAACTAATTTAAAAATTTAGATGACCAAGAAATAAATGAGTATTTCCCCCTACCTTTCTTGGGAAAAAATTTTTAAAACTATTATTGAGAATTATACAGATTCGGCATATTTTTAGATGCATGATATTAATGTCACAGTCACTACAGGTCAGATGTAGATGTGCTTCAGCTCTGTATTTTAACATACTATGTTCAATATAATGAGCTGTGTTTCCTAATCTATAATTGCCAGGTATAGGGTAATATGACACGTTGCTGATGTGCCATTCAAAATGAGACAGGATGTAATAAAAGATTTGCCCTCAGTGTGTATAAAAAACCCACTTATTCTTTCTAGATTTTATTTTATGGGATTAGAATATTTCTGTTGGATACTATTCTTAATTTTCTCTACACTTTGCTGCCATATGATGCCACAGGGCAGAGAATCCAACTTAAGTTTTAATGGGATCTAGAAAAGAATAATATACTTGTTTCCTTTTCTTTTTTTTAATGGAGGATGAGGATTGATTCCATAAAAGATCATTTAGAAAATATAGATAGATATTTTAAATTTAAAAAAAAAAAAAAGGTTTTTTTCCCCTAAGACCTAGACCAATTAAGTTTGATACAGCTAAACAGACATTCTTAGTACAGGTATGATATTTATAATTTTTTTCCTCTCTCTCCTTCCCTCCCTCTCTCCCAAAAGCAGGATGTTAGTAAGATGTTCAGTGCAATTGTATTGGTACTAGTAGTATTTGGAAGTGACAGTGAATGCTCATATTTGGAAAACTGAGGATTTGGCCATTTTGGAGTCACTTACCTTGCCCAATGGAATTGCTTACACTTTAATATACTCTCCTTAATTTAAAGAGTTTAAAAGACCAGATCTGGTTCCCCAGTGCACTCAAATCACAGGACATAGACATACATCCTATTTTTAAATGACTTAATAAAGAATATAAATCCTATGGTTCTCCAAACAAGTGATTCAACTTTCATGTAAATGTCAGTTTTTGCGAATAGGAATTTAACACTAAAACAGCAAAATCTATTGGTTAGTTCTAACTTGGAAATGTATTGTGGATAAAACGTTCATTATCATTGTAAACTTTAAATGAATGGCAGAACAGCTATGAACATCTGAAGAGGATATCTTACATAGAAAATGTCCTTGGGGGAAATTTATGTGTCGTGCTCATTTCTTGTGCACAAGAATTGTATGGGTCATGCTTAACTCAAAAAGTGGGATTGTGCTCATATCTGAATAGAGATTTGTTCAAAGTTCCTTCAGTCTATATGCAGAAACACACATTCGTAATCGTAAAGCAAGTAACAAGATTCTATTCTGCTGTGCTCCTTAAAAACTGATGGTCTACACAAGAAATCCTAATTAATAATTTTAAATCAATAATTTACAGTTTTATTTATTGTAATTTTGCTGCATGGGGCTTTGCTTTTATAAACCTATATATTGGAACGTTTGTCCTAATTTGCTGATCTGGAACACATTTAATCCCAGTTGAATTTACACCCAACAACCCTGGCGTGTTTACATTTCAAAAGAAATGAAATTGGTGTGAAAAAGTTTTTAGAAGTACTGTAACTTTTTTCTTTTTCTTTTCTTTTTTTTCTTTTTTTTTTACAAAGGGACATATTTCAAAAAATGAAACATATGAGTAGGCACTTCAAAAAAGATAAAATATTTTGTTTGCTTTTTGACTGACATGCTATAAAAAGGATTATATTTGTGAAAGAAGATACTGATTGCCAATATTTCAAGTACCATCTTGCAATGTATAGTTTTTAGTGATATCGTAGTATAAATCTGTAATTTGAACTTTTACTTTGGAATGTAAAGTAGAAAATATTAGCTATGTTAATGATATCTTGCAAAGTGTTCCCATTTATAATTATTTATATTGTAAATAGCTTTCTGAAGTAAATTCGAAGTTAATGTGCATAAAATGTATTTATTATGTGAGGAATTTTTTGGTTTAAAATATAGTTACCAATATGCAGTTTGAGTCTGAATTATTCATTGAAGTAGAAATCTCTATAAGAAAAAATAGACTGTCAACCAGAAGATTAGAACTGTAAAGAAATAAGGAACATTTTAGCTCTAGATTCTGTTGGAATGAGTCTCACACACACACACACACACACACACACACACACACACACACTCTTTAAGAGACCTAGCCGTACAAGCTTACACATATTCACAGTAATTATTAAGTTATGGGTCTGATTTTCATTACACACCAGAGAATGTTTTTTCAATTCTTTATTAGGACATCTTAAGCAGGACTTCTTTGGTCTCCACTTTGCTAAAATAAAACAGGAAATTTGAAAGTATAGATTACATTTTTAATGCCCAAGGGAAAAGAAAACATATAATATTGAGATTATTTCATTTGCTGTCATTCAAAAACACATTAAAAAACACATGTTGAATAATTGTTATTTTGGAATCTAAAGTAGTTCTTAAATTCTGAATTAGGGATTAAGGTGAAACAAAAATATATTGCCAGGTAGTTCTCTCTTACATATTTTCATAGCACCTAACATGTTTTTTTTTTTCTCCAGGGATTTCTGATTTACCTTGATGTATTTCAGAAATTGTCAATCATTAGCCAATTCAGAAAACCTACACAATATATTTTTAATGCAAGGGAGATGTTGTTTGTATTTCATAGTTTTTTTTTGACAAAGCTGCGTAAAATATCAGTGTCATTAATATTATAACATTTATCAGATATTTTACAACAATTATTTAAATATTTGTATTAGTGCTTTCATTTCTGCAAATAAAATTGTTCTCACCTACTTTATACTCCAAAATAACTACACTTGCAATTTAATCCACATTTATGGAATACTTGTTACGTGCTCCAAAAGGGATAGACACCAAGCATCTTTCTCATTATAAGACCTTACAGGAAAGCTCATACAGAGGGTCTTTGATTTTCCTTATGTGCTTTGAAAGTGTAAAGTCTTTAGATAATCATAAAAATGACAAGCATTTATTGAATCCTCATGTGCCGTGCACTGAACCAAACTGATTATCACTGAAGACTGGGTAGAGACCATCACATTAAATGGAGCATACCCACATGCTCCATTTAATTAATGAGGAAAGTGAGACTCGGAGTGATTAAGTAACTTAGTGATACAGCTAATAAGTGGAAAAGATGAAAAATGAACCCAGGCAGGTTTGCTCCAAAACTTTACCTTACTTCATGCTGCTTTCCTTCTGTAATAAAAAAATTAAGTGAAAGAAAATATTGTCTAAATGGTGGTTGAATAAAACAGATTGCTCAATCCAGTCAATGGTAGCTTCAGTAGCCCCATGTATGGCCTCAGGGCTAGGTTGCTATTTCTCCATTATTACACTGACACATGATGACCAGCCTGAGGGAGAGAGAGGCCAATCTTGCAACTCTCTTATACAGTAATCTGC